TCTCAAAGTGCTGCATAAAGCACTAAGGCCAGACAAAAAAATTCAGCTTATCCAGATTGAGAAGGAAGAATAAAACTGTCTTGGTGCACAGTTAACATGATCATTTACATAGAAAATCCCAAAGAATCAGAAAAAAAAGTCCTGTACCTAATAAACAGTTATAGAAAAGTTTCAGGATATATGAGTATGGTACAGAATTCAGTTGCTTTCCTGTGTATATTAAGGAACAGTTGGCATTTGAAATTTTAAGAGTCTATATGTTGGAGGTAGGAAAATATGAAATTTTAAGAAGGAAGAAGTGGCAAGAGAATTGACTAATGAGGTAAATTGAGGCTACAGTATGAAGGACTAGGGAAAATTTGAGTCTGTTGCTTTGAATATTCACAATTTAACTTGTGGGTCATTCAATATACAGAGTGAATTGGAGAGTAGGCAATAAGAATTGGGTTACTTAGTGGCAGGCTGATGAATTCAAGCACTTATGAATAAGAATCTGCAAAGATGTGGACCCCCCGCATCTCCCACCCCTTACCCCCGGGTGACACAAGGGGTTAAAACACAGCACTATGAAGTTATCAGCAGTCACTGCAGCACAAGTTCAATCCCTGGCCAGGGAGGTGACCTGGCATGGCAGACCTCTCCTGACCCGCCTGCTGCTCCCCTCAGCAGTGATTTCAGTCAATCTGACTTTTCAGCTCCCCACCCTGTCTCTGGTGAATCCTCTCACCCTCCACACCTCTGACCTGAACCTCAGTTCTTGTAAGCATAAATAAATAAATCTTAAAAAAAAAAAAAAAAAAGAATCTTCAAAGAGATAACGAGGATCTGAATTATACCCAGGGCAGTGGAGATAAGAGATGGCAAACTAATTCATCCAGAAATGATTTGAGTTATTATCTAGTAGGTGTTTGGCATTGATTTAGGCACGGGGATACAGCAACAAATGAAATAGGTCATCCATTGAGGATAGGTATCAAGTGGAGTTTAAGTGACTGGAGTTGGTGCCTGCTTAGATGTAACAAGCGAAAAGGTGTGATGAGACAAGCATGAATCATTGATTCCTAAATTTCTCCTTTTAAACAACTGAATAAGTGGTGATATGGTTTGACATGTGAAGAGAATGCCTGGAGAACATTCAGAGGGATGGATGTTTTGTAGTCAGCTGAAGAGATGATTTCTGAATATTCACTGAGCTAAACCCCAATGAAGAGAAGCACCAACAGTGAGGAGAAATACTGAGGAATTACAGTCCTCCTTGGTATGTGGGAGATAGTTGAAGTCACAGGAGTAGATGACACTGAGAACAGGAGGTAAGAAAGGAGTGGGCTCCTTTGTAAGGGTAGGACCTCACTAAACACTTGCATCTGAAGGATAAATAGAGGAAGGGTCTCAAGTTGAGTGCTGTCAGGTTCCAGGTGTTTTTGTTTCATTTCCCTGAAGTTTTGCAATGAGCCTGTATAGTAGTTTTGCCTGAAAGATGGAATGGACTGTTAGATTTTTGATTTTAGATATTTCTTTGATGTATGCACTATTTTCACAAAATTTAATAAACTGTGCTTTCATTTTACTTAACAGTTCAAAATATTTTTTTGTTTTCACTTGTGATTTCCTCTTTAACCCATATGTTATTTAAAAGGCTGTTGGTGAGGAGCTTCTGTACAGCAAAAGACACATTACACAACAGATAGACACCCGACTGACTGGAAGAAAATTTTTGTACACAATACTAATGACATGTGATAGTAGAAATCCATGCAGCTCTAACATCATACTGAAAGTCCTGCATAAAGCACTAAGGCCAGACAAAAAAATTTAGCTTATCCAGTTTGAGAAGGAAGAATAAAACTGTCTTGGTTCACAGTTAACATGATCATTTACATAGAAAATCCCAAAGAATCAGAAAAAAAAAATACTGTACCTAATAAGCAGTTATAGAAAAGTTTCAGGATATATGAGTATGGTACAGATGGAGCAGATGGAAGGAAATTAGGAAGCAAAATGTTGCACATAGGTCCAATAGGATAAAAATTTGAAAAAGAAAAGTTGCTTCTACATTTATCTAATCATATTTTGATAATTGAATTTTTATTACTTGCTCTGATATTTCATACTCAAAAGAGAAAGGAAATCGACAACCCACCAGGTTTGCAGCTGAGAAGTGGCATTGTGTGTTATTGCTATGTCAACATTAATATGTGTAGATAACCTGAAAAGAGCTATAAGTGACAGGTAAAGGACAAGTGTTGGGCCCTCCCTAGTGGCTCAAGGGGTTAAAGCACAGTGATATGAAACTATCCACAGCCACTGCAGCATGAGTTTGATCCCTGGCGAGGAAGGTGAGCCCTTTGGCATGGCAGACCTCTCCTGTCTTGTCTACTGCTCCCCTCAGAAGTATATTTCAGTCAGTCCAACTGTTCTGTTCTCCATTCTGTCTCTGGTGAATCCTCTCACCCCCTGCACCTCTGGCCTGTACCCCAGTTCTTGTATGCATAAATAAATAAATATTTTTAAAAAATACAAGTGTTTTAAAATACTCATCTAATTTTGTGTGTGTGTGTCTTTTTCTCCCTATTTAAATACTTAAATGAAAGAGAGCTGAATTATTATGAACTGAGTCCTTCAGAATCTCCTTTGAAGAAACCAAACTATGAAAAAAAAATTGAGACCAACCCTTGAAATTAACTAATGACACAAAGACACTTTATTTAGAGCAGACACTTAAAGAGATGAGTTAGTAAAATCTTTTATTTGGTTCCCATTTAGCTATAATGCAAAATTTGTAAGCCAAAAAATTTCATATCAAGAAAGCAAGGAGAAACTAAGCTGTACCATTTGGCAAAATTTAGTGACATCAAGTTTGTAGCACAAAGCAAAATTCTAAAATTTTAGCTTATTTAATTGCGCTTGAACATATCTTCTGGTCCAAAAGATAGTAAAGAAGTCCTGAAAGTATTTGCTGTTTAATTCCTTCATTAAGAATGTTCACCTATAAAGACACAAAAAGAACATTTTCTCAAACTACTCTTATATGTTTGTAAACTTTTAATGGTACATTTAGATACATTAGATACAATTTAGATACATAAGAAAGTAAAAAGACACCACCAAGAGTTCCCACATACCCTGTACAAGTGTCCCCACTGGTTAATGTCTCACTATGTTATGTTTGTCAGAGGAAATGAACCAGTGTTGATGCATTATTATTAAGCAAAGTCGACACTTTATTCCCCTGTTTATACCTTTTGTCCATTTTCTGTTCTAGGATCCCATAAGCTGTGAGGGTTTCTCTGACTTTCCTTGTTTTTGATGACCTTGAGAGTTTTCAGGAGTACTGGCCAGGGACTTTATAGGATGTGCTTTGATTTGGTTTGTCTAATGTTTTCCTCACGATTACACTGGAATTATTAAGAGGATGGTCCCAGCATGATGTGCCATTGTTATCACATCATTTCAGGATAAATGCCTGAGTTATTACTGATGAAATTAACTTTGATCACATGGATGAAGTGGTTTTCTCAGGATCTTCACTGTAAATTTACCCTTTTTATACTACACTATTTGAAAGGAAGTCACTGACAAACCCATGAAGAAAAGATAATTATGTCCTATCTCCTGGAAGGAGGGCATCTAGATAAACAAATATCCTTGGGAGATTTGTCTATTCAAATGCATGTACATATCTAGGCATGTATATACATAGCCATTCATATCAGTATGGATTCATAGATATTTTATTTGGATTATAATCCAGTAATAACTTATTTGTTACTGAATTGTTGATTGTTGGCTCTTGAGAGCTTTTTCAGTTAGTTCCTATGTCTCTATTTTTAAAATAAATCAAGTTATTCTTTAACCTTTGTTGTCTTTTCCTTCTCCTATTTCACGTATTTGTATATCAACTTTCATTGTCAATGAATACTGTAGTGTCCAATTTAATGAGCTGGAGTCAAAATCACAAGATAATTTAGTTCATACCTATTCACAGATTTAATAAGATGATTTCCCTGTGGTTAAAACGTAATCAGTTGTCAGTATCTGAATTGCCTCTGTGTTTATTTAAATAGACAAAGTTAAACTGTTCTAAGTTTACATTTTTGCTTCAGATCTCATCATCTGTGCCTATCATTATCAGATAAATTTTTCTAACGTATATATCTATTTTTGTTGTTTCCTTGCATAAAGCTTGCAACAATTCAAACTGTCTATTGAACAAAAGGTCATATTATTAGCCTGGTATTCAGAACATTGCATACAAATGTTCCAGTTCACTCTAGAAAAATAATATATGTTTCAGTGTTTTCCTACTTAAATCATATGTTTGCATCAATTTGGATCTACCCAGAAAGATATTTTTTCTTTTTGCTTCTATAATTTTACTACTGCCCTTGCTGATTAGAAATGCCACCCACTTCTATTAATGTGAACTCTAAAGTCAATGCTTGTGTCAGGATCTTATGTGCCCGATCTGATCCATTTCTATCCTCTGTGCCCTGGGAGGCAGCCCCGTGGACTCCAGCAGTTCTTTCCTGTCCTCTGCTTTTCCAATGGGTTCAGCCTTCTGGAAGCCATCAGAATGTAAGGCAGAGTACTTTATCTCTTTATAACTTTCTATGGGGCTGCCTCACCCTCTGGAGTCCTATTAAGGTGAATTTATTTCAGCCTTCTGGAAGCCATCAGAATGTAAGGCAGAGTACTTTATCTCTTTATAACTTTCTATGGGGCTGCCTCACCCTCTGGAGTCCTATTAAGGTGAATTTATTTCCCTCAGGACTTCCATCTTCATAAGATTCTCTCTCTCCTTTGGAATTCTTCTAATTGCTCCCTCCAATCCTTCTTGAGGCCAAGAGGTGGTAGCAGTTAGCATTGTTACCCCAGGTTACTGCACCACCCCAGTCATTTTCTAGCACCCACACCTTTATATGTTGTCTTCATCATTTCCTTGTCTATTAAGTACTACCTATGGTCTGATACTTTCTCTTAAGAATCAGAAACCATTTCTTTCAAGAAGATTTTACTTATTCCTCTCACAGCACATGTTCTTTGTTTTCCTCAGCAACATAAAAATCACACTTTTGTCTAAAGGCATTAATAGTCAAACTCTGCATTTTACTTTGGGGTTTATCTAATCCCTTCTTTTTTGAATACAAATTCACTAAAGCCCAGAGAATCTGCTTATTTATTTTTGTCTCCTACCCAACCTAGCAGTGTCTTGCACAGCACTAGGTTTTGACACATTATTTATTTAAAAAGTAAGTGAATGTTTGTTTACATATCTTGTAAGTTATTTTGTTAGCTTATGCAGACTTTCATTGACATGAGAAGAGATATTGCAAAATAATGGAAATTTAATGTTTTCTCCTACTCAAGAGGTATTTTATAGTCAGCTTACAAAATCATGCTAATTTCTTCCTTACTACCCCCACAATAGAAAATTATAAGAATTTTGAAAAATTTAGTTGGAAATTACTAGATTGAATTTCATTCAGATGGTAAAATTCAAGGTCATATTTCCAAATATTCTACATACCTGTTTCAAAAGTAACCTTCCCTAATACAGCCTTTCTGTTTAATCTCACTTCATTTTTGATAGATACTTTAGGCCATAACCAATCCAACTATTACATAACATGTAATTTTCACTTGCTCTGTTATTTTGTAATTATTTACTTGTTTATTTTTGTCAATTTGTTGATATTAGAAAGGGAACTTGTTTTCTACTTTTTTGTATCCCTAGTATTTTACAGTTGCTTCATTAATAGACCAACAAAATTCTAAGAAGTTCAGAAAAGGCACCATTCTTTTATTTGTTAGAATATAGAACTATTATTATGGACTTAATCTTGTGTCCTCCCCACTTATGTTAAAAGCCTACTCTCAGGGGACCCTTCCTGGTGGCGCAGTGGGTTAAAGCACAGCACTAAGAAGCTAAAGCTACTTCTGCATGAGTTGATCCCTGCCTGCCAGGTCGGTGACCCACATGGTCCCGCAGACCTCTCTTGACCTGCCCGCTGCTCCCCTCAGCAGTGTACTTCATTGATTTGCCTGTTCTGCTCCCCACTCTCTGTCTCTGGTGAATCCTCTTACTGCCCCTGCACCTCTGGCCTGTACCCCAGTTCTGTATGCACAAATAAATCTTTTAAAAGAAAAGCCTACTCTCAAGGTAATGGTTACTTTGTGGCAGGAACTACATTTATAAGAGATCATGAAAGTGAGGGGTTACTGTCCTCATAAAAAGAGAGAGGAGGCCCTCCCTGGTGGCGCAGCAGGTTAAAGCACAGCACTAAGAAGCTTAAGCCACTTCCGCATGAGGCATGAGTTCGATCCCGCCCGCCCTGGAGGAGATCCACATGGTGAGGCAGACCTCTCCTGGCCCGCCCGCTGCTCCCCTCAGCAGTGTACTTCGTAGATCTGCCTGTTCTGCTCCCCTCTCTGTCTCTGGTGAATCCTCTCACCCTCCGCTCTATATGTACGAATAAAAAGAGAGAGAGAGAGAGAGAGAGAGAGAGAGAGAGAGAGAGAGGAGAGCTCTATCTTTACCGATGACTTGGAAGTGGACCCTTATGAAGGAACTTCAATGGCCCTGGCCTTTATCTTGGACGTTCCAGTTTCCAGAACTATGTTTAAGTTGCCCAATCTATTTTGTTATGGCAGCTCATGAAAACTCATATCGCTTGCTTCTTCATAAGGAAAAATTAAGATCAACCTCTGTATTAAGATAACACTTGGTAAACGTTAGCTAACTGCTGTGCAAAAAAAAAAAAATTCCACTTAAGAAAAAAAAAAGATAACACTTGGTAACTTGAAGAATTGTAAATGGATTATTATACAAAATAAGGCATACTTTCCAGGATCTCTGATTATATTCTAAAAAGAAAAATACTCTCAAATTCTAGTACTTACCTCTAGATTCCCATTTTCCTTCTTTTTAGAAAGCATTCATGGCTTTCCGTCTATTGATGTCTCTCTTGAGTTGGCAAAGAGAACAATTAGGACAGAAGAGGGTGATCATGTAATCATTACAAATGGACCCCTGTTTGAAAACATAAAAGAAATAGAAATGTAAAATCCATCCATTTGGAAATCAAGTCTGTGCATTTTCAAAATATGTTGAAGTGAAATAGAAGATACTTTGAATTCAGCTTGTATGTATACACTGAAGAAAAATTTCATTGATTTTTCTATGTAATACTTGTCTCTTTCTATGGCATCAAATATTTCCCTATGTTTTGTAATATGGAAAATAGAAGATATGTAATCAAACTAGCAATACAGTGGTGAAACAGAGAAATTAAGGAAGTTTTAAAAAAGAAATTTAGGAAATAAAAATCTTAAAATTCTTTTTTCCTACATTCTCTAATTGTCTGAGGAAGCTATCAGAAGATGGCTCCATCAGTATGAGCGACTAAACAGAGAAAGATATAAGATGTAAGAAAAAGGAATTTAATGTAGGAGAGAAGCTAATGTACTCCTCAGTGACAAGGTGAAGGAGATACCAGGAGAAAGGGAGGAGAGCTAAGCACTGCTAGTAAAGAGCAATTAGTTCAAAAAATTTCAGGATAAAGAGTGACTTCATCATAAAGATGAAAATGCAGTATTGAAAGTGCTGATAAGATTTTAGAAAGCTGGGAAAGAATTTGGTAAAGTTGAGTGCTTAATACAAAGACATAAAAGGTTAAGCAGGAAAAGCAATCATATTTCACTCCATGATTCAACTCAGATGAGCAAACAGGGAAATCAAAATGTCAATATGGACTAACCCAAACTGTAACTTACTAGAAAGGGTGGGGTATAGGAGGTTGCTTTCATGTGATCAGGAAGGGAGAGAAAACAGAGTTAAATTCTCATCTTCCATAGTGGGAGGTCAGTAGACAATACCCCTAGTTGAAAAGTAAAAAAGTCTATAATTTGGAGATATGGAGGACAATATCCAAAGAATCAGGTCTGAGAAAGGGGAATTAGGGAACCTTTTCTGGAACCTTTGTAGTTTTAGATGTTCCACAACTATTTCTTAAAATTTTCTGATAATTTAAAATTCTATTTGTAGTTTATTCAAATTGTCATATATCAATAGTTGTTCATCATCATCATCATCATCATTATCATTACTGGGTAGCATTCCATTAATTGGATACATCACAATTTGTTTACTCATTCATCTGTTCAGAGGCATGGAATTTAATTTTTGGCTAATATGAAATGCTCTCAAAATTTTTGTACAAGTCTTGGTATGGATATATATTTCCTTGGGTAAATTTCTAGGAGGAGAATGGTTGAGCTAAATGTTAGTTATAAGTTTAGCATTATAAGAAAGCTTCAATTTTATTTCCCCGAAATGAGTATGAGTTTCAGTTTCTATATGCCATCACTGTGGTTTACTCTGGTAAATGTTAGCCATTCTAGTAGGTGGGTAGTGGTGTATCTGTATGTCTTTAATTTGCATTTCTTTAAGGGTTAATGATGTTGAATAGTGTCTGTGTTTATCATTCAAAATTTTTTTTCTAATTTTATATTATCTTGTTAAGAACACTTCACGCATTAACACATTTTTAATGCACATATCAAAAATGAATGTCCACATAATTATATGGAATAAAAGAAGCTAGACAAAAGGCATACATTGTATAATTCTATTATATAAAAGTGAAGAAAATGCAAATTAATTTGTAGTGACAAAGAATTGATTGATGGTTACTTGGGGAAAGAGAAAATGTGCATGAGTGGGGGTGAAGTTATTTATTATCTTGAATGTGAAGATAGTTTCATTCTCCTGTTGCATCGGGTAAAGCTTATGAAGTAATTCAATATGCACTTATGAAAAGGTAGAATTGAATAGTGACTCTGTCTACTACCAGTGCTTATATATGGATGGGTTACTGCACCTCCTAAAACTTAAGAGTCGTTCCTTATCTGTAAAATGTCATAGACTTACCTGTTTTGGAGGATGTCATAAGAATTTAGTGTGGTAATTTGTGCAATGAACTTGGGGTGTGAATAGTTGTTTACCTTTGTATGCTAATACATTGCAAACATCAGTGTTGCTTTTAATAGAATTCTAGAAAGATATCTCATAACCAGAGAAACTGTTTCTTCAACAAGTTACACATTTGGGAAATATCCATTGTAGGTGATAGATACCATCAAATGACATCCCTGTTTTTATAGCAATTGTTTTGAATGTGGTTGCATATTTGAATAATGCAGTATTATGGGAGACTTACAGGAATGCCGTATCGGGTCCGGTACAGGGTTCTCATTGCAACGCTTCCCCCACACATACAGCATTCATTCATATCAGCTGCAACTTGACATGAAAGGCACATATGGCAAAATGTGCCACAGATACCTGGACAAAGGAAACAAGAGGACAAGTTATTCTCTAATCTGTCTCTACTGCAGCTGAAATTTCCTTTCACAAATAACAGTCCAAATCATGGGGTCTTTGGCACACATCCTGATGCCAAGTCCATCCGCAATATTCATTGTGCATCAGCTTATTTCTCCTCCCCCCAAATCCAAGGTAATTTTTTTCCATTTTTTAAAAATTTTATAAACCAAGGTAATTTTTTTTTAGGAATGAGGTATGCATTTCTTTTATAGAACTTCCCTTTACCTATTTATTGAATGGGTTACTGAAATCTAGCCACAATACCCCTGTGTGAACTCTAGTGAGACACAGATAATATGAACATCCTGAGTAGAAACCTACTCAGGATGCCAAGGGGTCACCACAGAAATGGTCCTCCAAGGCTGTGAGAGGAAAATGCTATTTGATCTGAGTAGTGAAGGTTGACAAGAAGTTTTATAGGTAGACACTAGCGGGGAGAGTCTCTTTGGGATAACTTGCTTGTCTTGGTATCGGCTAGTATTCGCTCAAAATGGCTGAAACAGAGATGGGATGGGGATAAAGTGGAGCGTGAGGCAGGTTGGGGATCAGATGATGAAAGGTCAGAGTTAGTAATGAAGTCATAAGGAACCACTGAAATGCTTTAACAAGGGAGGAATGTTGTGGTCGAAAATACAACTGCTTAGTTGTCATGAAGCAATTAAGCTCTTACTAGAAGTAATTGTAATTCACTTACCTAAAGAGCAATGCTAGGGGCAAAAGAATTAATATGTTCGTCTTTAGATTTAACTATGTAGTCTAATTCTCACAATGAATTACAGGTGCTGAGTTAGTATCCTCAGATGTGAGTTATCCATCTATTCACTAAGACACTGAGAATGAATAAGTAAGCCAATTATTCTATTTCTTAGGTAATTTTTCGCCCTATGCTTGACAATGCAACTATCAATCAGTTCATTTCAAATTTCAATTTCATTGGTAAGTGAAAGTTATTCCTTTTTTTTTCTGCTGTTGTCTTACTGTGAAGAAGTAAGACAGGCAAATAAACCTCATAGCAATTTTCTTCTAGGCAGGTTTGCTTCAACTTTGAGGGAATGTGAGGTAACACCAAACGAGATATAAACAATAACAAATGGATGTAACTGCATTATAATATTAATCACATTGAAGGAAAAAGTAAATTAAATAATTTTTGGAAAATTATATTTCTCTGAAATATAAAGTAACACGTTGAGAATCAACTTCCTTGATTTTCTCTGACATTCTTTCTGACATCACCCCCAGATGTCTTTCTCTTAAACTTACTTAAATACACTCAAGAACAAAAACAAATAAAAAACAAAAGTCAAAAACATTTTTCCCAAAGAGAGGTTAATTGCCTTAATATTCTTTATTCTCTGCACAAAATGAAGAATGATGTAAAAAATATATAATAAAAAATTCTTTATTCTCAGGTATGTAAAATACTTAAAAGAACAAAATAAAAACAATTCTTCTTTGAGCTAGTGCTTAAACCATGGATGAAAATATCCTTGTGATTTGGGAATAATGTAGCCATAAAGTAGTGAGTTTAATTTCTAGGTCTAACAAGAATAGTCTCCCTTTTTTTCTTAAATCAAGATAAACTTGAAATCTCCCTTTTAACTTTATGGAAGGTTAGTATAATTATTAGGATTATATGTTCATTGTAGAATTATTTACTTTTACTATTATTTGAACTCCAGAACTTATTTCTGGAGTAAGACTATTCTTTGGAGGACTGAAGAATCAGTTTCTTCATTAGTACAAGCCTCTTTAGTTATCTGTACAATTAACTGAAATGCAAAGTTTTCTGAGGAATTTTAACTACACACTAAAGAGGATACTAACTTGACATCTGCAATTCATTACACCATGGTCTTCCTGGTGTTTCAAGGGGTTACAGTGCAGCATGTGAAGCGATCCACAACCAATGCAGTAAGAGTTCGATCCCCAGTCAAGGAGGTGACACACATGGTGTGGCAGACCTCTCCTGTCTTGCCCTCTGCTCCCTTCGGCAGTGTATTTTAGTCAGTCTACTTGTTCTGCTCCCCATTCTGTCTCTGTTGCATCTTTCACCCTCCCCTCCAACTCCACTGTACCCCAGTTTTTGTATGCATAAATAAATAATTATTTTTTTAAAGAGGGACAAGGGAAGGATTTGGTCTTTGGTAGTCACATCAATTATGGAACACTTTTCACAGCACTTACAAACTCCGAAGTCGCTCATACAATCAAATATGCCGGTCTGCCAGTTGTTGGTTTGGGCCATGGGACTACATGCAGGCTGAGTCATGATAACCACTGGCTGCTGAGCTTGCATTTTAGATGCAGGGTCTCAAAAGGTGGTGGTCTGAAAGGGAAAAAGGTGGCTAAGTAACATGCAAGTTGCTCTTGGGAACCTCTCTTTTGAGGGACTCTGCTTTGTTGGGTCAGTGAGACAACTTATTTCTAGTTCCTTACTGATCTTTGAAGAATATCATTTTATCTCCACTGCCTAGACAGCAAAGTCCCCTAGGGGAAGGAACTCACTGAACGGATAAAACGAACTGCTGTCTTTCTAGGGGTGACAGAGTAGAACAGAGCCTTTAATGCTATTTATAGATAGCTACTTAGTCACGGAAATGAATGCTTAACTTGTGAAAGCAGTTGGAAAGAGCAAATTATAGAAAAGATTTTTCTAGAATATACACTTAATCATTTGACCCAGGATTCCCACTTCTAGAAAATTATCCTGGAAATGCATTTCTAACAATGCAACAAATATATATGTATGAAGACATTCAGAGCAATATTGTTTTTGCAAAATATAGTGTATAATTGCAATGCCTAACATGAAAGAATAGCTAATAAATGGTGGTACATTCACACACCAGAGTGTTATGCACTATCAAAAAAGAAGAAGATAACTAGGATGACCTTCAGGATATACTGTTAAGTTATAAAAGCAATGTACAAATGAGTGTAAGAAAAAAAGGTATCTGTTTAATTGTGCCATAAGAATTATAGGAAGAATAAACCAGCAACAAATGAAATTTGTTATGTTCAGAGTAAATGATGTGAAAAGAACTGAAGAATGAAAACTGAGCAGTAGGGGTGGGTTGTCACTTTTCCAAGCGTGCTGTTTTCTATGGCTCCCTTCCAGCCCTGCTAATATTTCACATACTGCGTTAACATGGACATGCTTAATTAAAGTTAGCCAGAATGTGAGGGAACACCAAATGAGATATAAACAAACAAATGGACCTAACTGCATTATAATATTAATCACATTGAAGGAAACAATAAATTAAGTAATTTCTGGAAAACAGTATTTTGACTATGCAATATAAATTTAAAGACAAAAAGAACTAGCACATATTGAATTCTAGCTAATAAACTTGTTTTCATAGGGCGTGGATTAACATTACTGAAACACACAGGAAATTCGGAGAATGACTAGTATGAATCCTGTGCTTTCAGACTGGAATCAGAGATATAAACTCACAGTATTCGTGCACACACATACACACCACAAACACAGGGTTTGTGCACACACACACACACACACCACAAACACAGAGTGGCAGATGGAATAAATTCCCCCTTGCAATCTTTCAGGATCACACCAACACAACCATGAAAACTACATTAAGTGGCATTTGAAATTAAAAGAGCCGTTGTACTCACAGGTCCTGAGATGGAGGCACAGTTTGCCCAAGGAGGCACTCAAGATCATCCAGCAGCTCAGTGCTTGTTACTGCAGGTAGAGAGGGACAAACGCTTTTACTGAAGGTTATGGGTGGGGTAGATTGTGACAACAGGAAGTACTCATTCTGAATGGGGCCTCCCTGGTATCATAAGGAAGTCTCAGCACTATGAAGCAACCCGAAGCTACTGCAGCAGAATTCTATCCCTGATCAGGGAGCTGACCCACATGGCACAGACCTCTGCTGTCTCACCCTCCTGCTGCTCCCCTCAGCTGTGTATTTCAGGAGATCTGCCTGTTCTGCTCCTCACTCTGGTGAATCCTTTCACCCTCCACACCTCTGGCCTATACCCTAAGTCTTATATGTATCAATTAAAAAAAAATAGATCCTTAAAAATAATAAAAAAGAAAACTGGAATATCACTGAGTCAATACTGAAAGGCGGAAGAAGGTAAAAATAGGAAAATCATCTTAAGTCTTATGAATAAACATGTTGGGATGACAACAGAGAAGTGGGCAATGATGAGGTAAAAATTCAAAACAAGCAGTCAGTGCCAATGAGGCACCACAAAAAGCTTTACATTACACTCACACAGAAAGATGGATAAGTGTGTATATATTGATATATTTCTTTTTTTTTTTTAAGATTTATTTACTTATACATACAGAACTGGGGTACAGGCCGAGGTGCAGGGGCGGTGAGAGGATTCCCCAGAGACAGAGTGGGGAGCAGAACAGGCAGATCGACGAAGTACACTGCTGAGGGGAGCAGCCGGCGGGTAGGAGAGGTCTGCCGCACCATGTGGTCACCTCCGGGGCAGGCCGGGATCGAACTCATGCAAAAGTGGCTTTAGCTTCTCAGTGCTGTGCTTTAACCCGCTGCGCCACCAGGGAGGGCTCTATATTGATATATTTCTTAACTCTGACCATTAAGAGAAACTAGAAGCAACAAAAGTCCAATGAACATACTTCATGCCTAAATCTTGGTTTCTCAACACCATATTAAAATTAAAAAAAAAAAAACAAACAAAAAACCAGAGTTCTTTGGAGAAAAGATTTACATCAGGGTTAGGGCTAGAAAAGTACAGATAACCCTGTAGCCTCATGTGAGACCAAGAAATAAAAAGGACTTAAAAATGGATTAGAGGACCCGCCCTGGTGGTGCAACAGGTTTAAAGTACAGCACTATGAAGCTATCGCAGCCACTGCAGCACAAATTCGATTCCCCCACCAGGGGGTGACCCACATGTGGCAGACTTCTCCTGAGCTGCTCCTCTGGACAGTGTGTCTCAGTCAGTCGTCCTGTTCTGCTTCCCACTCGGTCTCTGGTGAATCCTCTCAACTCCCTTACCCACTCCCCTGCTTGTATTCCAGTTCTGTATCTATAAATAAAAAAATCTTCTTAAAAAATGGATTAGAGATAGGATCTCACAGCCAGCTCAACAGCTCTCCCATGATCAAATCTGGGACAATCTGAGTCACAAAAAGAAGTGTTAATTATGGTTTATAACTCAAAGACTAAAGTCATTATCCACAATCCCATCTGATATAAATAAAATAATAAATTAAAAAATAAGGGAGAAGGCATGTCTTTTATGGTAAAATTCTCATAGTATGCTAGAGATCCAAAATCATCATTTAGCAAACTAATAGTTGTAGGCAAAATCTCATGGGTGGATGCTAAAATGAGCAAGCTTGGAACATATGAGGAGAAGTGTGATATTTACATGGTATCAAGGTATCTCCTTGCAGATGACTTACTAATTGCAAAGGAAAAACAGCACCTTTATTTGGAGAAATAGAGCGATACTTATCTTAACAAGTGATCAAAGGGAATGTTACCAGTAATGGACATATTGCATCTTGTGCCTCTTTATTGCCAGGCACTGAAGGGCATGGTGCCACTTTTATGTTATTCCTGCCAAAAAATGCAAAATCTGAATCGATCAAATGAAAGTGTCGGAAAAACACAAAGGGAGGCATACTCTACAATATCAATGGTCGGTATTCTTTAAATGTGTAAAGATTATGGAAGACAATAAAAACTGAGAAATATTTTAGATGGGAGGAGACTAAGGTGACTTGGCAACCAAAGGTAGTTTGGGACCCTGAATAGAATCTTGGGACAGAACAGGGACTGTCAATGCCCTCCCACCAGAGACACAAACCAAAACAATACCAAAAACCTGCCTTTACAACAGATACAGAGAACACATGGATTGTTGCCGGTGGTGGAGAGGGTTTGTAGAGGGAAGGTGGGCAAAATGGGTAAATATGATCAAAGATATGCAATTTTCATTATAATTTAGCCCTGGGAATGACACCTATAGTTAAAATACTAAACTGTATACTTGAAAGAACAGTTATTAAAAGTTCTGATCATAAGAGTAAAAGCATAATATATATAATATATAGTAATGGTTGTTATATTACTACATAATACATATAATATAATGTGTAGTAATGGTTGTTAACTAGATATCCTGAACTGAACTCTTGATTATAAGACCTGAATACGTAAAATACAAAGAAGAAAACATGGGCTATTAAGCAGCCTTGGTGATAGCTTTGTGTCTACATATCTAACAGCAGAAGAAACCTAAGCAAAAGTAAACAAATGGAACAATGTCAAACAAAACAGTGGGAAAAAATCATGGAAATGAAAAGGCAACCTACTGTATGGGAGCTGGTATTTGCAAATAATCATATATCAAATCAGAGGTTCAAATGCATAAAATATTAAGAACTCATAAAACTCAACAACAAAGAGTGAGCAATCTATTAAAAAAATGAGCCGAGAATCTGAATAGACACTTTACCAAAGAAGACACATAGATGACATCAAGCACTTGAAAAGATATTTTTCACTGTCTGTTGTTAGAGAAATGCAAATCAAAGGAATGATGAGATACCACCTCACATTTGTGACAATGACTATTATTCAAAAGACAAGAAATAACAAGTTTGGAGAGAATGTGGAGAAAAGAGAACACTGATACACTGGTGGTAGGAAAAGAAATTGATATAGTTACTATGGAAAACACTATGGAGATTCCTCAACAAATTAAAAATAGAAGTACCATATGCTCTATTCTTGTCTGAGTATTTATCAGAACACAAAAACACTAATTAAAGAGAGATATGCATTTTATGTTCTTTTCATAATAATCAAGTTATGGAAGTAAACTAAGTGCACATCCATCGATGATTGGATAAAGAAGTGGTAGTATATACTCACACTTAATATTACTCAACTATATATTAAAAAAAAGAAGATGAGGCCCTCCCTGGTGGCACAGCGGGTTAAAGCACTGCATTAAGAAGCTTAAGTCATTTCCACATGAGTTCGATTCCCGCCTGCCCTGGAGGAGATCCACATGGCGCGGCAGACCTCTCCTGACCCGCCCGCTGCTCCCCTCAGCAGTGTAACTTCGTCGATCTGCCTGTTCTGCTCCCCACTCTGTCCCTGGTGAATCCTCTCACCCTCCGCATCTCTGGCCTGTACCCCAGTCCTGTATAAATAAATAAATCTTTAAAAAAAAAAAAAAAAAAAAGAAGATGAAATCTCTCTTTTGCAACAACATGGATGGACCTAGAGGGTATTGTCAGGGACTGGCCCCTGTCACAGGTTGTTGGACGGAGGTCAGAACAGGCAGGGTCTTAAGGTGGGAGTAGCATCGGCAAGTGGAGATTCCTAAAAAGGGGAAATAGGGGAGCTGGTGCAAGGAAGACATGGGAATCATTGCAAGTCTTCCTGCTCTGGTCTCAGCAGAAGTTTATTTTATACATTAGGAGCAAGCAGTGGGATAACATTAGCATATGAATTGGGCTGAGAGATCAGAATCATCTTTTTTTTTTCTAAGAACAGTTTCGGGTCCTATTGACCTTCAGCTGAGATTATAGTATTTATTATTGTTAAAATCAATCTATTAAAATTCCCTGGGGCAGCGCTAGCTTGCCTGGGCCAGGCAGTGCCTTAATGAGGTTGAGGCAATCCAGTTGTAAACTGATGATTGCTCAGAATATTTTCATATTATGATTATACAAAAAAGGGAGGTCATAACATAAGTTAGCATGGAAATTCTGATATTTCAGAGCTTTTCCTTTCTGTCCAGAATTTTTCGGTTGACAGAGTTACATAGCTTGTGTCAGGGTATTAATTATGCTTAGTGAAATAAATCAGGATAGATCAATGGAAAAAGATAGATACCATATGATTTCACTCACAGGTGGTATACAAAGAAAGAAAATAAAAGATGAAATGGAATAAAACAAAAAGAAACTTTTAGACTCTAAGAATACAATAATGCTTACCAGAAGGGAAAGGAGGAAAGCAGGGACTAACCAGGTGAAAGAAGTCAAATGCATGGAAAGAAATTAGAATTCTTTTTTTTTTAAGATTATTTATTTATGCATATGGAACTGGGGTACAGGCCAGAGGTGCAGGGGTGGTGAGAGGATTCAACAGAGTCAGAAGGAGAGCAGAACAGGAAGACTGATGAAATACACTGCTGAGGGGAGCAGCAGGCAAGACAGGAGAGGTTTGTTGTGCCTTGCGGGGCACCTTTGGGGCAGGGATTGAACTCGCACTGAAGTGGTTTTCACTGGCTTGTAGTGCTGTGTCCTAACCTGTTGGCCACCAGGGAGGACTGGAAATTAGAATTCTAGTGGTGAACTAAAGATATGTTCAGGGCTGTACCTGAAAATATTAAATGTTATAAACCAATGCTATTCCAGGAAAGGGAGAGGAATGAGGGAATTAGAATTCTAGTGGTGAACTAAAGATAGTATGTTAAGGCTGTACCGGGAGCTATTAAATGTTATAAACCAATGCTATTCCAGGGAAAGGAGGGGGATGAAGAAAAAATTATTTGGCAATTGTGCTTTTAAAAAAATAGCTTTATTGAGATATAAAAGTCTCTATAAAAGTTAGAAAGTTTATAAAAAGTCACAAAAGTTACTTATTTAGAATATATTGGTCAAAGATTCATAGCTGCCAGCACTCACTGTTGGCACAATGCAGCTGGGTTGAAGTGCAGCACTAAGTCATCTCAATGCCACAGACC